GGGAGAAATAACAAAGGGGAATTCAAATATTGGAAATTTGGGGATCAAGGGTTAAATACAAGTTTTTTTAAATTCCCACTTGTTCACATTATGAAAAAAACATCACGACTTGAAATTTTTTCAAAAAAACCATTTTAAATGTAAACCCAAATATCCCCCCTATATCTATAAAATTTTTTTTATATATAATAGGGGGTATATTTTGCATATTATCGTTAAAATGATTGATAGAATTTCAAGTTCCTGTCAATACATGTATATTGTCCAGTTAATTGGATTAAATTCATTAATTAATAACCTGCCGATAACATGTGCAGCACTGCATTTTCCAAAGCTCTTCACTCATTTCTGCTGTTCCTCTTATATCATATACAGACTGTTGAGGAAGAGCTTAACCTGGGTATCATTTTATCAGTTTATGTCCCAGACCCAGATCTAAACATATCATGATATCACTGCAAAAAAATTATATCAGAAAGGAAATAAAAAAAAAATCAACAGAAGAGACTAAATCAATAAAATTTTATAATTAAGTAAATGAAACTATGAAATGAAAAATTAGTAGAAAAATACCTGTTGATTTAATGCATCATACTTAAAAATCATGACATTAAATTAATTAATTAATAATTTTACAATTTATTTTGGTAATTTTTACTTACACAAATTACATTATCACGACGTGTTAATAGCACAGACGGTGTTAACGTACAAATATCCCTTTCACAAGTAATCTGAATTTTTGTTTATTTGTATTACTATACAGCATTAAATAACAGCAGATGTCTTTTTTAATACAAAACAAAGTTGGTTTATATATAATGCAGAATTTTTTAAATGAATCTGTACTTGTCACTTGGGTCGTGTCAAATTAGCAAACAGGACGTTTCGGCCCCAAACCAAATCGTCCCCTTTGCAAAAAATCGGCCCTTAGACGTTTCGGCCCTTTTCAACGAGACGTTTAGGCCCTTTTTTATGACATTTTAAAAATGTATTTGTGTGTTTTATTTCAGGAAAGTACAATGTTTAATTGTTATGTGTTGTTTTGTATCGCTCAATTTCGTCATTTACCATTAATTACATAGTTGTTGATAATAAATGTTTGTTTCATGTAAAATTGTTCTATGTCTTTTCAATCGTTCAATTTTTTTAAATGCTTGAGGGTAATAAACAGATAAAAGGTCTGTTTTTAAAAGTGTTGGTGAAATATGTTTTGTTTTACAAAATTTCTGTTCTGTTCTGTTTGTTTTGACTACTATTTTAGCCTTATTCTATATAATATCACAAAATCATAATTTATATAATTTTTCAATTAATGCCCTCATTCCTTTTATTTGTTCATTTAAAATTCTGAAATAAAACACATAAAGGTAAGTCTTATTCTTAACTAAATATGGGGCTGATTTGGTAAAGGGCCGAAATGTCCGGGGCCTAAATGTCCTAGGTAATTTGGGGCTGATACATCTTGGGGTCGAAATGACTCAAACTCACAAATTACAGTCTAGAAATTAGAATGCTATATAGCCATATTACAAATATTGCTCTGACTGTGAAAGGGCCTACACCTGTAGTCCTACACTTGAAGCTGGACCAATTCACCAGTGCACTTGTGGGTCATACCGGATTACCCTAACCTCCGGCTTGAACCTCTCTTGAAAACTCTCAACAGGTCAAAATGGGCCAGCTGTCTATATGCGATTCCACATTGTCAGCCATGTTTTTTTCCACCAAGTGGGTCTATCTATCTATCTTCCGTTAATGTCAAACCCCTGGCTAGGGCCTAGACACTTAAAAGTGAAAGTAGTTTGTAACATGCTGCAAAGTGAAAGTAGGCCAAAATTTAAAAGTAAAATGATGAACAATTTGCAATTACACTTATTAATTTGATTGTCCCCTTTTAGGGGCCAATAGAGCTAAAACTAGAAATCCTTTAAACTTTTTCCAGGGCTAGACATTAACAGTTGTCCGACTGCCCTGGACAACCAAAAGTTTGGTCCGGGCAAGTGAATTTCAAGAGAACTTGCCCCACAGGGCAAGTGAAAAAAAATCATAAGTAAACATATTTAACCAATAATCCTTGCAAATTATGATTTCAATCTTAATTAGACTTAATTAGAATGGATCAAATTTGTCTAAACAGTAAATGCCGAAGCTCACAACAGGGGCAATTGTACATGTACACAGGCTATCTGTAAAATCAAGTTGTCTGATTAATATGTCAAAACTTCATTAACATTATTATGTCAACACCTCTAATTTAATGTGTTCAAACCCTGTTGAATTTCAAATCATAACCCTGAACTTAATTTAATTTAGCTGATATGTAAAGATTGCCAACCCTTTATCTCGAAACTTACTAATGTATGGTTGTTTTCAATTTTTTACCGGTTTAGGTCTGGGCAAGCAAGCTTTAGGTCAGGGAAGTACTTGCCTGACAGGACAACCAAACAAAAATGTTTATTTCAAGGCCTGTCTTCTACTGAACTAATATATTATGGATGATTAACAAACTTTGTCTGTAGTATTCTTAGGTAGTATTTTATAAAAAGTTTCCAGTATGAAAAAGGAAATTAGAAAGCGCGAGTTGACATGCTTTACTTGCCAGATGCACAGTAACAATGAACTAGGGCTATTTTTGAATGGTTCCGTTTTTATTATGAAGAAAAAAAAACAATCAGTGTTGTGAAACTATATAACTAGAGGGGCAAGTTGAAGTTAAGCTGGACTTGCCTTTTGGCAAGTTCATTTGAAAAATTATTTCAAACACAGAAAAACAGTTCTTTCTAGTGAGCAATTCAGGGCAGTCATGTCCCTCTTGTTTATACATGTAGAAAGTGGTTAAAAACAATTTAGTGTATAAACAATTTAGCCGGTGCATACAAGTAGAAAACGTGAATAACACTATCATGCAGAAACTTTAATGTAGCCCATTCAAACATTTCAAAAAGAATCAACATGAATCTTGGAATTCTTGCCTATCATGACAAGTTGAAGTTGTTATTTTTCTCTTTTAAACTTAGAAATTTTAACAGACAAGCGTTTAAAGAGGTGCTCCTGTGTTAATATATAGTCTTGTGTAGAATGAAACATTTGACCTTATTTTCATTTGCAGAGTTAAAATACTACAGAAGTTATGACACTATGGTTTGAAATTATCATCCTGGTATTTGCATTATCTGGGACAGAATCTCTAGACAATGGTCTGGCTCTTACACCACCGATGGGCTGGATGCAGTGGGAGAGGTTCCGATGTAATATAAATTGTACGGATGATCCGGACAACTGTATAAGGTACAGGATATTTGTTTTGTTATTTTCAGAGCCTGATTTCAACCTTAAATGGCCTATTCTATGATTTACTTAGATGTCATAACGCTATTTTATCAAATTCCAGTATTATTTTTTTGTAAAATGACTTATCAGTAAAGGAATGATGTCACCGTAACAGATGTATGGTGTGGGTTATCAAAATCTGATATGTTGATATTTTTCAAGATATTGTTTAATAATTTTAGTGTACCCTCAAAGTTGCACATGTAACACCTTTAAAAAGGCCAGTGGGCGCCCCGATTTCTGCAATTAGGTTTTGTAATAAACACTGTATTCTTTTGATATATATTATATTTGTATATTGATGAGTGCACAGGTACTTAAAACAAACTATTTTTGATGTTCTATATAGGCTATATACTATAATAAGACTACTGTAGCCTAAATGGAACATTAAAAATAGTTTGTTTCAAGTACCTGTGGATGAGTGTTTAAAGCAACTGGTTTCAAATCGCAAGCCCTTCACTACCAAAGATCCATATATCTTGCCATATGAAGGAGCTATGACAGATTCTAAAGAATATCTAGCAAGAATATTTTGTGTAAAAGTGAACATTCCATTCACTTTAAGAGGTTAATATCTATTTGAATTAATGTTGTGTTTAAGTGAGCGACTTTTTAAGACGATGGCGGATATTATGGTTTCCGATGGTTACCGTGACGCTGGATATAAGTATGTTGCTATTGATGACTGCTGGATGACATCAGAACGAGGTCCAGATGGAAAGTTGCAACCAGACCCGGTTCGTTTTCCTAATGGCATGAAACATCTGGCTGACTATGTAAGTTCTTTAAAATATCAAACATTTACAAGGTACATGAACCTGATAGGTCTAACATTTTAAAATAGTGTTCTTGTCAGTTATGTATTTTAAACATAGTTACAGTAGTGTTTTTACATTTTTACAGAATTTCTTTTTGGTATACAATATAAAGCTGCCAAGACATTTCTTATATACATTGTATCATACATCTGTTTTTTTTTAACATAACTTTAGGAAGATTAAAGTATGATATGTCTGTACACATAAAACTTCATTATCACACAACCTTGATGTTTATTATATTGAATACTAGCAGTTATATGTACATGCACTGTGATGTTTACATACAAACTTTGAATAATGTTAACAAGTGGTATATAGTGATATTGAAAACAGTATTTGCATTGCATCATTTAATGTTTAAAACTTTATTTTCCTAATTTGTTTTTCTCTCTGTAGTCATAGGATCAAGTTTACCTGTTTAAAATTTTAAGGTATTCTAGTTCTAAATAATGGCATATATTTTATTTGGTACTGTATCATTATAACATTTTTTAGGAAACTAAACTTGTATTCTTAACATGTCTTTATTCATTAATTTTTGTACAGATCCATAGCAAGGGATTAAAGCTTGGTATATATGGAGATATGGGAACAATGACATGTAAGAAATATCCTGGTAGCAAGTTTTACCTAGAGCTTGATGCCCAGACATTTGCATCATGGGAAGTGGATATGTTGAAACTGGATTGTTGCTATGCCGGTAGTCTTGTTGACGTCCAGACAGGTAACTAGTCTCCTTGACAACCATTAAAATATGTGCTACCCTTTCTTTTGTTGATTGGTATATTTTAACTATTCATATCATTTTTGGTGACAGACAATTTAGGTAATTTTGATACCCTCGACGACAGGCCTCAGATATAAGTGTCAATATAATCAGAAATAAACATAACTAGTTTGTTAGTTAGGAGAAGAACCTAGCTTTACTGTGTCAAATTTTCAGTCTCTAGGTTTAAAATTATGAAATTAGTATTGAAAAATGTTCAAAAAGTGTCTGGTTGATGGTCCCTGACCAGCAACCTTAGCTGCTGGAAAAGCGTTATATCGCAAACAACCATTTATATACAACCATATAAGTGGTCAAGAATCTAACTATTTTATAACACAGCAGACTTCCTTTATTACAGAAAAAAGAGTAATTACTTGTTAAATTGACTGTAGCTTTGAATATTGTTTATATAAACATCACAATTATCCATTGAAAAGTGACATTACAAACCTGCACTATAATAAATATATAAATAAATACATAAGACTGAAGTAAGAGATGTGATTATGCATTTCTGTATCAAGTCATAAAAATACTCTGCCTAAAAAGTGTATCAGTAAGCAACAACAATAATTTGGTATTTGTTTGATTTTATTGAATACCAAAATATATGCTACTTTTTACATAGAACATGTTTAAAGCATAATGAATGAATTATTCCACTTTATAATATGAAATCCTTTTGGCATAGCTAGTACATTTACATTTACTTACTTTCTTAGGTTATGAAACGATGAGTTTTTATCTGAACCGTACTGGCCGACCTATACTTTATGACTGTAGCTGGCCTCTGTGTGGTGGCCCAAAGGTATGGCATGATTTTATTTTCTAGCTTACAGAAGGGTTGATAGTTCTACTGTAGGTCCTACCCGTGCTTTAAACCATACAAGGATCGGCACTTTAGATCTTTTGATCGAGTGAAAAGTTGCCAACTTACACAAAAAGTGGTTGATGTAACTCAAGAATTAACATAAGAGATAGCAATAATGTATCCACTTTCCATGTATGTATGCAGGATTTCCAGCTATGAGTCAGTATTTGAATAATACAGGAAGACCGATACTTTACGCATGTTGTTGGGCCGCTTGTGAAGGTTTATACTACAAGCATAAGGTATTATATATGATGATAAATATTTGCTAGCCTATTTTCATCTCTGTCTCTATCTTATATCATGCGCATGCTTTCCATATTCTGCTCAGGGTGTGGGGTTAGGGGATTCTGTGATTGATTTTAAGGTTGCTTGATTTAAATCACTTAATATGTCTTAATAAAGTTAGCATGACATGTTAATTTAGTAGGAAAACTTTATCATGTGTTTACTGTAAATCCGGTATTTTTCGCGATGTTTTAATTTTCGCTATTATTCGCGAATCGGCTGCGTCGCGAATTCATGATGCCGCGTAAATTTTATATCATAACATACATTATAAAAAATAAATCCGATGACAATTATTTTCGAATTGTTATTAAGTTTGATTATGAATACAATAACTGATTACAAAAAAATTATTATGTGCAATGTTTTATTTACATCATAATAAAGATATGAAGCTTTACAAGCAGCTTTTTTCCAATTCATCTTCCCTCATGAATACATGTATATCAAGTAAGAAAATGCTAACATTATTTTGCGACAATATCTACAAATTTTTTCTTTTACAGTCAAATGTGAACACCTATTGTTTAGATAACAATTGATTTACGGTAAGAAAAGTGATCAACGGACAATTTACGTATTGTAGATAAAGTATTATGCACAAGTATATTACACCTTGCCAAGAGGAAACTCTGTTGCATTTATTTTGGGAATGTCCAAAAATTCAATTGTTATTTCAATATCTGAAAGACAAGATAGATAATTTGGATGATAATTTTAATTGTAAATCATTTATTTTAGGTTCTGAAGTTAATGATTTTAAATATGATATTTTGTTTTTAGAATTGAAAAGATATATTTATTTGTCAAAGAGAAAAATCGTGTTACCTACAATACCTGGTTTTAGAAATAGTCTTAAATTGGCGTGGAATATTTACAAAAATACAAATTTGACCAAACATGTAAATGAAGGATGGCAAATTGTAAGAACTTTAATAAACTAATAGGCTACACTAAATCAATTTACCCCAAACCAATATTCTTTGTTTGTTTTGAAGCTGTTGCATAATACATTATCATACATAATTGTTATACATATTATATGAAAATTGATTGAATGTTTGAATATAATGTATATTATAATTATATAAAAAATATTATTATAGATGATGATTTAAATATTATGTAGATATCATGTAAGGTATCAGAGGGATGACCCGACCCTCTCATACCTATTACGGGGTAAATAAACGGGGTTACCCAGTTGGGGCCTCAAAAAAAAAAAAAAAAAAAAAAAAAGTATATTACACCTTCTTACAAACATTTAACGTTTTTACAAATACGCTTTTGCAGACAATAAATACATTTAACGAATGATAAAACAACCCGTTCATAACAAGTCAATTACATGTTTGTATGTATATTTTATATACAAAATAAATAAATAAATACATAAATAACTGTCTCTTATTTACACTATTAACATTTACCGTGAATAAGTGCGGCACAGCATGGACATTAACGTAAACCTACCCTGTTATATTACGGAAATAAACAATCGCGAATAAATATTTCTGACCCTGCCATCGCGAATTCATAATTACGCGAAAAAATCTTGGGATGGGGTTTTCGCGAAAAAAAGATCACGCGAAAATAAAGTGATTTACAGTACTTAAACCTTTTCTACTGAAAGAAGACTTCAGAAGGGGAAGCCTGTCAGTAAAGGCCATCTTTTTGTCTGCCTTTTATAAATAATGGTGAAAGTCTCTTGTTTATTTAATGACATTCAACAAGAAAAAATCTGCTACTCCTTTTGCCATTGCTGAACACAGTGACAGTTCAGTGGTTTTTCTCATTTTTCTGGGAAGAGGCTTTAGGCTCTTGATTTTAGAAAGAATTATGGCTAAAATTCCAAATTTAGGAAAAAAGAAGCTGGTGTAAGGTCTAAGTTTTAGGAAATCTGCATGATTGTAAAGAAAATTTCCTTGGGAAAGAGGAGGCCTTTTATAGGCCTTTATTATATTAGATGAAAAATCACTGCATTTATGTTTAATTTTGTTTTCCCCCAATACATTATGGTATTTGCTAAAACAGATTTAAGTACATGTAATTTAGCTGTGATATTACAAATTATGTAATGATTATAAAATAACTAATAATGTAAAAATCTGTTTAATATTATATCCTAATTCCTCTCATTATTTCAGCCAGACTACAAGGCTATTGCCAAACATTGTAACATGTGGAGAAATTACAATGACCTACAGGATGCTTGGAAATATGGTTAGTATTTACCGAATTAGCTTGAAATGATTAATTAAAACTGTGAGGCCTAGTGGTTATAGCACAGTTGTTCGGGTCATTCACATAGAACCGTTTGCCATTCACAGCTAAAAATGCCAAAGATAGTCCATGTTTATGGCAAATGAGAAGTTTTTTGAAAACTAAAATATGGTAGCATTTCTGAGGCGTAATATTAAGATAAAGAATTAAATAAATACCAGTTTGATCAATATGTTTATCATATATTACATTGTACAACTTTGATTATTTTTTTTCTAGTATATGCAGCCATTGATTTCTATGGAAACAACACGGCTCATTTTCAGGAGGTAGTTGGTCCTGGTGCTTGGAATGACCCAGATGAGGTACATCTTTTCTATTGTGATCTTACAAATATCTTATTTGTCTGAATACTTTAGCTTGACAGTGAAGCATATTCTTGTAACTTTACTTATGTTAATAACGTTTTGAGTTCTCTTTCTTGAACTAACAAGCACCAAGTCATTTGAAGACATATGGTTAGAGTTTGAAGGAAATTTCCTGATTTGTTAAAAGGAGATTCCTTAATATGTAGACTAAGGCAGGTTATCATACCAAGGTTCTTCTTAGTAACTCAGATTTGTGCTTAAATGTCATATATCCGGTTGATTTATGCATATTTTAATTACAGATCTATACTTTGCATGTACTAGTATCTGGAAGATTTCAGTTACAGATTTTTAGTGACATCAAATTAAGAGTTGGGTTCAATTTTATTTAATTCTCAAAAACATTTTAAGATGTAAGGAATATTTCATAGATTACAATACTAAAATAAAATTGGTTTCATTTGATTACAGTTGATTGTTGGTGATTTTGGTTTAAGTTACGACCAGGAGCGTGTACAGCTTGGGATGTGGTGTATGATGGCCTCGCCGTTGTTTATGTCCGTAGATTTACGTAACATTCGCCAGACTTCTAAAGATCTGCTTTTAAACAAGAATCTCTTGAGAATACACAGTGACGAACTGCTTGTACAAGCTTATAGAATATCAAAGGTAAATGCATTGGATTTTAGCTCCAATTTAAATCTTATATCTAGGTAGTTGTGTATCTGAATTATGTACTATTGATAAATAATGATCAATGAGTACGACTGTTTTAAAAAAAAACATAAATACTTTGATATCATTGTGAAACATGATGAATGGTATTTAATGTACAATCTTATCACAGGGTGAAAAATATTCAGCCTGATAGCAACTCAAACCCTAGACTCTCAGAATACCATTCTACAGTTCTTCTGACTGAGCTTAACTTGGCAGCTCACACATTTCCTCAACTATAAGTGAACAGTTTTATACTGTGATATTGTCCCCTGTTATTTTGAAATTTTATCTCAAATTTCTAATGAGTAGAAAATAAAAGGTGAATTGACATGGAGCTTTATACCATTACATTACTGTGTTTGGCGCCAAATGTTGTAGGAAGAGAAAAATGTGTAGCTTGACCAGTGCTACCAACACATTTCCTCCCCTATTAGTGAACAGTTCTATACCAAGACATACCCTTATCAATCAGATAATCACAAAACATATGCATACATGTGAACTTTTTTCAATGTTCAAGTGGAAAATTTACCTCAAAAAGAGGGATTTTTTTTAATTGACAATAGCCATAGAAGGAAATTTTGAAATGAAAAAGAGGGAGATTTCTTAATTTTTTTAAAACACCCCTTATTCTAAGAAAAATATTTTAAAGGAGAAAGAGGGAGTCTCCAGCTCAAATTGGGAGAGTTCACATGTATGCATATGAATCACATCTAGGACTTGAACTGTTGAATTGACAAATATTTCTGTCAATGTCAGGGTACTAGTTATTTTCATACATTTATAAGAATGGAGAGGAAATGTGGTACTATGCATTAAAAGCAGCACATGTTTGTATAACCACATTGACAGGGACACTTAACCCATTGAAAATACTGAAATATGAAAGTTTTTGAAAGAGAAGATAATATTCTAAATAATACACAATCTGATTTGAACAATTATTTTTTTAACCTTTTTATCGTCTAGGACAATCTGTTTGAAGTATGGCTCCGACCATTACGAAGTCAGTATTTCAGTGATGGAAGTTTCGCTGTAGCTGTTCTCAGGCATGATGATTATGGTATGCCTTTTCCATTCATTACCACCCTGCAAGGTCTGGGTATGAAGAATAAAGCAGGATATAAAGTGACGGAAGCTTTCGATGGCAAAAATATGGGAAAATTCCTTCCACAAGACCAATTAAGATTTCCGGTTAATCCAACTGGAATCTTTCTTGTAACATTGACTCCTATAAGTTGATTGAAATTTTTATTTAGAATAGGAATGATTTTTTTTTTTGAAGGTCAGCTTTGGTCAGTTTGACTGATTGACTGATCAATTAAAGCTATAAATACACTAATCAGAAATCCAAATATCCATAAATAGAAAGGAAACACATCTTTAGTACTGTACATCAATAGGAAGGAAAGTTTAAAACATCTGTTACAATGCACATTCTTTACAGTAAAGAAATTTACATTTTGTTATTTCATGATTGTATCAGTTTGGCTATATGTCTGCTTGAAATCCCATAGATTAAAAGTTAAAAGTTAAGTAGTCGCAAATTAAAGCATAAGAAATAGAAGATATTGAATGAGAGTAAGTTCATAACTGAATTTATTAAACCAGTTGAAATTAAACCAGTTGGATAAAATACATCAAACTCCTCACAGCGGTTACGTCATGCTTTGCTACTTTAACCACTGCCACCACTGAAATCACGTGATGATAGTTGTATCATGTGACAAAAACATGGCGGCCAGTTTCAGAACGCCAAGGATCCCATATCAAACTGGCAGATTTATAATTACATCCCTCCAGACAAAATAAGTTCAAGACACACAATTTGTTATCACTTTAAAACAAGTGCCGGATCAAATCTTTTTGTGCAATCGTTCAATAACTGTTTATATTCTGCCATTGTTTACTATGCATACGGTGTCACAGTGAAAATATCTTTTGTTATGTTTACAAAAAAATTTTCATACGTATAATTTTTTACTTTCTTGTAAATTAAGCATAACTATTTAACGAAAGAAAACTAAAATGATATAAAGTATTCTATTCTAAAATTAAAAGTGAAAAAAATATATCCGCCTATATTCGACCGAATTTACTTGTGGTGGCAGTGGTTACTGTACAGATCAGGGGAAGTAACCGCTGCGAGGAGTTTGAAAATACATGTACTCAATTAATAAATTCAGCAATAAATCTAAACAAATATAATGTTATATTTATCACATATCCCAATAAAGACTGTTTAGAGTGCAAAGGATCATTTTTAATTGATGCACCTTTAGTGTAATGCTAACATTTAGCACATCTTTACAGAATGTTTGTATAACCCAAATGGCGTCATATTAAAATATATCACGGCCGTTCAATACCATTTTTACGGAGTTGAAAAATTGGCAGTGGTATGTGTAAGTCCTTTAAGCAACAGCGAAGAGTTTATTGGCATTTGAACAGGATTAAAAAAGCACTGATAAATGGGATATTAACTTACTGGAAATTTCTTATTTCCTGTACTGAATTTATATTATAAACTTGCCATCCAATTTGGACTGATCTATTTTTAATCTATAGGATTTGAAAGTGTATTTGTAAAAAAAATACTCAGCAACATAGAGTATATTGTTTTACTAGAACTTAAAGTCCTTAGCTAATGCAAATCTTGTCTAAATCATTTCTGCAATATTATTGCATAGTCAATACATGTGTTTTATTTTGTGCTTTTATATAGATTTTGTGCATTGTTCACATTTCCACAGTGCTAGTTGTTTGTACATTTTGTATTTTGATAAGGTAAAGAAGTTATATTCATCTTTTGAGTTTTACATATAGTGCAATATATTATTTTATTTTATGGTGTTATAAAGAAATGGAAATAACACTTTTATTGAAATCGAGTTTTTGTGATTTTATGAGGAAACATAAATTTTTACGAACAATGTTGAGCATTTTTTTCACATTTGTTCATACAAATTTTTAAGTCAAATTACATGTACACAAATACACCTGTACTAAAAATATTATGCATTATAGATGGATCATGTTGATAATTCAATATGTACTTTATGTTTTGTTGTTGTTCATGGTGCTAGATTTATCTTGTTTTATATTGTTTTTCTATTCAAAGGCTTTGAACTTGCTAGTATACTTTTCTTATTCAAATACAAAATTTAAATTCATGCTGCATAATAGATACTTAACATTCCAGTTTCATTATTTTGAACTCATTTTGTCACCTTGGTGCAGTTGCTGGTTAACTCCTTATATGATTTAATAGGAGTTAACCCATTATTGCAGTAAGGAGATAAATTTTATTGATCATGTATAGAGAAATAATATGTATATACCAGGTTTTATCACTTTATTAATCAGAATGCTCATTTTATCAATAATCAGTTTTATTACAGATCTGAATAAGTTTTATCATTTTCCTTTGCTTTATGTGTCAAATGAATTTCAATAATTTTATGCTTTTCTCCGAATGACATTACCTTGGTTTGATTCATCAAAGTACCAAAAATGAGGTAGTCCACAGTAAAATGTCTGTCCAGACTGTATACATAGACAAGTTGTGTAAGTTGGTAACATAGGTCAGATACTATCACTGCAAGCATTGAGGGAACTATTTTCAATTTAATTACCTTTCAAAATTTTCAAGGTTATCCAAAGTCTAAGGTATATATTAGAGTTGACACTAAACTCCCTATCCTTAAGTTCATGGAATGCCCTAGCTCTGAACTAGAAATGCACACTTCATGTTTTTTGTGTCGCCTCTACGGAGTAGTGGCGACATATAGGGATCACTTCTCCGTCGTCTGTCTGTCTGTCTGTCCGTCCGTCCGTCACAAAACTTGTCCGGACTACTCCTCATAAACTACTGGTGCAATTTCATCCAAACTTTACAGGAATGATCAGTACCAAGTCTAGTTGTGCATATTGTCAGGATTTTCCGGTTCAATGATTTTTGTCAGAGTTATGGCCCTTTAATAATTTTTAATTTTAAAGTTTGTCCGGACTACTTCTCTTATACCACTCATGCAATTTCAATGAAACTTTACAGGATTGATCTGTAGCTCAAGTCCTTGCGCATATTGCACGGGTTTTCCGGTTGAATGATTTTTGGCCGAGTTATGGCCCTTTGATAAAAAGGTGTTTTTTTCTGTGTGTTGCCAGATACGCAAAAGCTTGTCCGGACTACTCCTCATAAACTACTGGTGCAATTTCATCCAAACTTTACAGGAATGATCAGTACCAAGTCTAGTTGTGCATATTGTCAGCATTTTCCAGTTCAATGATTTTTGTTTGAGTTATGGCCCTTTAATAATTTTTATTTTTAAAGTTTGTCCAGACTACTTCTCTTATACCACTTATGCAATTTCAATGAAACTTTACAGGATTGATCTGTAGCTCAAGTCCTTGCGCATATTGCACGGGTTTTCCGGTTGAATGATTTTTTGCCGAGTTATGGCCCTTTGATAAAAAGGAGTTTTTTTCTGTGTGTTGCCAGATACGCAAAAGCTTGTCCGAACTACTCCTCATAAACTACTGGTGCAATTTTATCCAAACTTTACAGGAATGATCAGTACAAAGTCTAGTTGTGCACTGTCCGTCTGTCTGTCCGTCTGTCACAAAATTTGTCCCAACATGAAATTGGCCATCATAAGGCGACACATGTGATTACTGATCGCTCTTGTTACACTAGTAAAGTTTTTTTAAGATTATCCATGATCTAAAGTCTACATACATGTATATAAATAGAGGACATTGAAATAGGGTTGGTTCAGTACTGAAGTCGAGTTTTATCAATCATATGCAAGCCTCTGGGGAGCATAATATTATTTAAATAAAAGAGTTCAATCAATTTAGTATTGAAGCTACACAAATATAATATTCTATTGATCATATATCCAAAATAAGAACTTTTTACAGTCTTTCTTGCTATGTTTACAAGTATAGTGTAAATGACGTGACTTCAAAATTTGTGCACATTTTATTATGGAGTTGCAAAAGCAACATGTGTAAACTGTATATGATTAAAATTAGTATATGCATGCTGGTCTTGATCTTTATTGTTGAACATTTTAATCAGTGAAGATAGGTAATAAGTAATTGTTTGAAAACATTTTTGTTTGGTATTTAAGGCTTGTGTTACACCTTTGTAATAAAATAGATAACTGAAATAAAGTGTTTGTTTTAAATTAAATTTGTATTTTAAGTACACAGTTGATTGCAACATGCCTTGCTAGACTATATGTGCACCTGCTACTTTTGATCATTGTACCTTTTTAGTGGAGTTGGGTATTTTTACCTCACCTGATCACAAATGCTTAAAAATCTGTTGAAAAAGATGGCTGCCAGAGCTAAAAATAGAAAAATGTGTTTCTTAACACAGTGGTCTTAATCACCCAATGGATTTTGATGAAACTTTTCAGACAGACCTTTATATGATATTAAATTTGTTCATGTGTACAATATACTCAGGTGAGCGATTAAGAGTCATGGCTCTCTTGATATTTGTACTTTCCTTGCAAACAAAAAATGGACTCTGGCGTAGTTGTAAATATTTATCACTTTTTCAAGCCATGTATTAATAGGGTGAGGGATATATTTCCTTATATAACATATTCCACTTTTGTCAAACACCTCACGGGGGCGTAGCCATGAATTCCCTCCTGTTTTTTTGATAGAATCATTTCATGAACAAAAACTAGGAGATGAATTATTTTGTATACGGCATTTTAAGAAAGTGACCCAAGAGTGAAAATAACCGCCAAGGTTACACAGTTTTACTGTACATGTATATAAAAGATTATAAAAAATCCCCTCCTTATCCACAAGAACTTTAAAACTTTGATTTCACAAATCACTGTCTAACCATCAACCAAGATATTTCAAATAGTTTTATAACTTAACTAGAACTCCGCAAGTCAGATGTGTCACCTTGTGAACAGTATAGCTGTCCCTTGTGCATTTTCTTCTTAAACATAGATTATTTATAAACACTGGTCTTACAATGTACATGTACCTTTAACTTAAATAGCATTTGAAGTGATTGTAACAATGTAACATCAATGTTAATAAAACTGTTGTATTATCAAAATTAGAAATACCATGGAAAGGTTATACACTGACAGATCAAATGGAGGACTCTGTGATGGATTCTTAAGCACTGCACTTGAAGTCAATGAAAAAAACTTACATACCAAATTAAGTCAATCAGTCAATCAAACTTAGAGTGACCAAGTTATGTTCTGGACAAGTGAGAAACTCAACAACGGACAATAACTAAAAATCATGAAGTGCAGAGTACAAGTTCTTCTGCACTTCACTTCTTCTCAATGAGATCTATCATCATATGAAGTTTCAAGTCAATAGCTTTTATAGTGTAGGAGAATTGGCCCGGACAAAAAGTATTATAATTAACAATAGGGCAATAACTATTAAATCATGAAGTACAAAGTACTGGTTTTTGTACACTGCACTTCTTCTCAATGAGATCTATCATCCTTCCATAGCTTTTATAGTTTAGGTGAAATGGCCGGACAAAAATAAAGTAAGAAAGTCAACAAAAGGCAATAACTAAAAAATCATGAGTACAGAGTACTGTTCTATGTGCACTGTACTTCACCTCAATGAGATATATCATCCTATGAAGTTTCATGTCCATAGTTTTTATAGTTTAGGAGAAATGGCCCGGATAAAAATGAAATATGGAAATAAACAAAAGGGAATAGCTAAAAAAATAAGAACTGTAGAGTGCCAGATTTTGTGCCCTGCACTTTTTTTGATTAGATCTATTATCTTATGAAGTTTCAAGTCCATGACATTTATAGTTTATGAGAAATGGCCCGGACAAAAATAAAGTATGAAAATTAACAAGGGCAATAACTAAATAAATAAGAACTCCAGAGTACAGGTTCTTGTGCACTGCACTTCTTAATAAGATCTTTAATCCTATGAAGTTTCAAGTTCATATCTTTTATAGTTCAGGAGAAATGGCCCGGACAAAAAAGTATGAAAATTAACAAAGGGCAAAACTAAAAAATGGATAAAAGACAGAAAAGGCCGGGTGCATTTGTATACCAAATATCATGATGCTGTGTTGTTAAGAAAAAAAATTTACCACTGACCATCAATGTCGAAAATTTAACTAAGTTAATAAACAAAAAATGGACGAGCAACAGACCTGAAATCGAATCCCATGGTATGTGACCATGTGTCAATGCTGTATGCCAAATATCAAGAGGCTGTGATAAGTAGTTGCTGAGAAAACTGTTACGAAAATTTTCTACCAATCACCATTATTGTCGAAAATTTAACTAAGTCATTAAACAAAAGTGGATGAGCAACAGACCTGAAATCGAATTCCATGGTATCGGACCACGTGTCAATGACGTATGCCAAATATCAAGTGGCTGTGATAAGTATCTGCTCAGAAAACTGTTATGAAAATTTCCTGCAACTGGCCATTAATGTCAGAATAATTCTTAGCATATCATCTGTAAATAGCGTACCTGAGCATGCGGTATTGTGAGTTGCATTTTCCATTCAACAATATGCACCATTTTATTATAATTATTTAAATATAAGCTTATTTGGCTCATATTCACACATAGCCATCACAGTGGTAAGAACTTTTTTTAATGTCTCGGCTTTTACCATAAATTTTAGTGAACTCTTGAGAAGTCAAGCTTTTAGTTAGAATCCACACGTAACAACTCGTGACCACTTTTATTATTTACTTTACCTGTGAATATATGGCCTTGACCTAAAGATGACCATGATCTTAAATAATATTTATTTATTTATTTATTACATTTACCAAAATTGAACTGTTTTGGCTTATATTCATACATACTCGTCACATATTTTATT